GCACATGAAATGCACGCCATGCAGCGGTGGCTTTTCACTGATCCAGTGGATTTACGTCGCATCAATGTTAACACTGCGCGGGGTGTCTGTGCATACGGATATCGTGTGTTCCTGTGTGTACATTTGTAACTTTCTGATGTGTCCTTGTCTCTTTGTGCATATATTTGTGTGTGAGTGCTGGCTGGGTGCTTATGGATGCAATATTTTATGAGGGAGGATTTGTGTGTTTGTGTGTGTGTGTGTGTGTGTGTGTGTGTGTGTGTGTGTGTGTGTGTGTGTGTGTATGTGTGTGAGAAATCCCATTTCCATAGCTGAAAAAACACCTGAGCTAAGGAGAAATCTTTGCAGCTGGTTCAAAAAGAAAACACACACACACACACACACACACACACACACACACACACACACACACACACACACACACACACACACACACACACACACACACACACACACACACACACACACACACACACACACACACACACACACACACACACACACACACACACACACACCGAGTTAAACCCTCCTCTGCATTGCGTACTGGATACGCTCCTTCTCCCCGTCTTTGATCCCTCAATCTGTATGTCTCTTTCACTGTCCTCTTAATAACTTTCTTCTTCTCTCTTTCTCTGCTCTGCCTCTCTCTTCAAGCTATTAAGAAACGATCCTCACTGGCAGCGTTCAGGCTCCTGGTCCCATTATCCATTTTCAAAAGCCTGAAAGGTATTGGAATGTATCTAAATGGAGGAGTCTTACTTTAAGAATGAAATGTTTTCTATCGCTTTACTTAATAATGAAATCCAGTTACGCTTGGAGGCCACTTCAGATATATGGATAGGTTAATAACCCTAAGGGAGGTCAACGTGGAGAATGGAGCATTATTGGCTAAACAGATACACACAAATGATCAGTAGAAAAATATTACGAAGAATATTGATTGTGTTTGTTCTGGTGGGCATATTTTCTTTTTTTGAGTTAACTAGTCTAGGGTTAGGGTAAGGTTTAGGATTAGTCTTATCACATTAAGTGGACAGCTAGCTTAGATATTTTAAGTAACTTTAGCAATACAATTAAGAAAATGTGCTCACATTTAACTAAGAAAATAATTAAAAGGAGAAATGCTAGAATCAGATGTTTTCTTATTGAGTTCCATCGCCCTCCTGTCATTCTATATGAAAGAAGAGTGTTCGTTATGATAAAGAACATATCTGCAGTACATCCCAACTTGGAATAAAGTTGCAAAACACACGTATTGTATGAAGAAATATGCTGTTAACACTAGAACCGCCAACGGGTACATTTGACCCGCAGCTGTTTCTTGATTGGATGTCACTTTTTTTCAATAAAATTCTCCCAGTCCGTGACTTTTCCTGAAAGTGTGTTATGTAGCACCCTCTGTTGTTAAAAATGGTCAATATGAAGTCAGATTGAAAAAATTGCCATTTATACCCATCAGCGCCAGCGGGTAATATTTACCTTATGGAAAATGCAGTGATTTTTGCACTATTGATCTCGCGCAAAAACATAAACATGACGTGTTGCTATAGCAACACCTGTTGTTTACTGCGGTTCCTTATAGATAGAGGGATAGAGAGAGAGAGAGAGAGAGAGAGAGAGAGATAGATAGATAGATATAGAGAGATATATAGATAGATAGATAGATAGATAGATAGATAGATAGATAGATAGATAGATAGATAGATAGATAGAGAGATATATAGAGAGATAGATAGATAGATAGATAGAGAGATATATAGAGAGATAGATAGATAGATAGATAGATAGATAGATAGAGAGATATATAGAGAGATATATAGAGAGATAGATAGATAGATAGATAGATAGATAGAGAGATATATAGAGAGATAGATAGATAGATAGATAGATAGATAGATAGATAGATAGAGAGATATATAGAGAGATATATAGAGAGATAGATAGATAGATAGATAGATAGAGAGATATATCTAGCAATCTTTTATACTTCATGCAATCTGCACTAGATATCACATGGAAGCTGAGAGTCCACAGATTCTATTGGTATAAGTTTCATCACTGTGCGATCAAAACTCACCGTTAACCCTGTGTTCTAGTATGATAAATAAAAGAACATTGTACCTTGAAAATCAATGCATTCTAATAGCGGGTGAATTTGACCCGTTGGCGGTTTTAGTTATTCAGCGACCCCTGGCGGTTCTAGTGTTAAACAACTTGAAAGCATTCTTTGTTTCCTTTTTATCTCTATTCCTCCACCCCCCTGTTTTAATCTCACTTTCAACACTTTCTATGAATCTTCCCTTCGTCCGTATGTCTGCCATTGCATTGGTATTCCATTCTGCTATCTCTCTTCCTGTTGGCCTTGGATGATGGTCGTGAAGAAGATGATGATGATTGCAAAATGCTCGGTGGTCAATTTACAGGTTCTCTCCATCCACTAAATTACTGCTCTAATCAATGAAATAATTGCAATGCTAAGCATGACATGAAAACAGCATCAAGGGATGATGCTTTATGATGTTTACGTGATGGATGGAGAAAATATTGGATGAGCAAATGGAAAGAGGACTGCAAGATGGTCTGAAGACGAAGATAGGATAATGTAGAACTGGAAGAAATAGGAATTGGATTGATGGGTGGATGATGGGTAGAAGGAGAGAATCAATGACAGTATAAAAGCAGATGTGGATATAGACAGTGATGGAGGGACAGAAGAGTCGATGGATGGACTAACAGATATTAGGAAACGAACAAATGGGGAATGGAAGTATTAATGGATGAGTGTATGGACGGTATGAATGGATAGATGACCGTGGGAGGAGCGGAGTAATGTGTTGACGAGAAAACAGGATTGGTAAGACGATGAGAGAGGTGATGGATGGATGGATGGAAAGAAAAAATGTAATTAAATGAAACAAAAGTCGATAGAAGAACAAAGTTGTGTGAACTGAGTTTGGAGAGTTGGGGTCATGGCATGGATTAAAGACGACATACAATGCTCATTTTCAGGTTCATATTTGCATGCTGTGCCTCTCCTGTGACACGTCTCCATGCTTTAATGTTCAATGTTTTCTGATTGGTTAGCTGGCCCGCTCTGTTGTAATTGGTTAACCGCTTAGAGATGACCCTGCCCTTAACCTATCACGTACGATTTGTTTGAGGGCTAAACAATAGAAGCCTGAGTGTTACATATTGATGTCACTATGTGGGGCGGGTCGGTTGAGTGTTTGGGAGAGGAACAGGGAACACAGGGGTTTTAGCCTTTGCAGCGCATTTACATGCACCAAACCTATAACACACTACAGGAAAGGGAAAACCCCCAAAGCATTACAGGACCCCATTAAGAGATAATAAAGGGTTACTAAAAGAAGAGAACAATTGATCGACACGTATATTGTTTTAATGGTTTTTTGTTTTACACTTCACCTGCGGTCGTTTTATCATGCAAGATTTTGTTCTATTCTAGATAGTCTTTTTTTTTTATTTGTCATGCATGTGTTGTACAGTACGTACCACATTTTTCTTCACCGGGATTATGAACATTTTGTTTTACATCTTGTATCCCTCTCTAATTGTAGATAGAACATATGGTTCAAGAAAACACTAGCGTAACTCTGTGAAGATGTATGACAGCAAATGTGTGCCGTTGCACAAATCACTCAAGCGTTGTTTTGCATTCTGCTTCATCATGCCTTGATGTGTATCAGCAAATGGCAAAGAAACCTGTGTGGCCAGTTGTTTACATTACTGTTAATCAGCGTACATATGGCCATTTCTCTTGGCCAGTTGGTTTTAAGAGCCTATACGATGCAGAGTAGGTGTCTATTATTGTGATTTGTCTTTTTCTGTTTTTCTTTCTCTCCGTTTCCTGGGCAGTTAAAACATGGGCTCAGCAGGTATAACATTGATTCAGCTGGTAAACAGAGGAGATGAGAGGAGGAACGGATGAAGTGAGAGGGAAGAGTGAACACTGAAGTTTGCAAATTAAGCGGAAGTCAAGAATGGATGCTCGAATACCTGATAATGAGTTTAGGAAAGGACAGGAACAAACGGAAAAGGCACAGAAAAAGCAGAACATGTGAGTATGGCAGAGAAAAACTCTTATTGGTGGGGCTGGATTTACCAAAAGTAGGAAGGGTTGAACAAATACAATTAAATAAATGGCCAGAAATTGGGCTTGTGGCCAATCAGGCATAGTAGCATTACAATAAAATGATTATATATTATAATATTAATAAAATTAACATTTCGATTCAAACAAAAAAGTAGGAAAAAGTGTTTTGACAGTCAAAATGAGGGAGCACGATGATATGATGGTAGACCTGATGACGGGGGGAATGGCAATAATTGGCAGAAGAGAGAGAAGAGAAGAAGAAAGGAGAGAAGAAGAAAAGAGTGATATGGAAAGGAGGGATGGGAGGAGGTGTGGCAGGAAGACGAGCAGCTGATAGGTATTATCACATTATACAGACAAATGTCACCACTTACTATACCTCTGTGTGTGTGTGAGCGAGAGTCAAGAGTGTGTGAAATGGTCTACTTGTGTAAAGGCTGGCCACAGACACTCAAGCTTACACACAGATACACCCACACAAACACACACACACACACACATGTCACACTTTGGCAGAGGCCATAGCCAATCTGCTTGGCAAAGAAGAGGCCAATCTGGCCAACAGAAGGGGAGAGAGGGATGGAAATGAAGAGAAAAAGACAGAAAGAAGGTACTGGAAAATGGTTTTGACATTTCATTTTTCCCATGTGTAAACGGTGTGTATATGCATGTGTGTGTGTCTCTGACCTTGTATATGAATAGATGTGTGTGGAAGACAGTTCATTTGTTAACTTTTGCTTCACTTGTTGGTCACACTTCCACATGCTTGCACGCACTTTAACAGATACACACTAAGATACACACAAGTCAGAGCTGTATTTACTAAGAAGTATTAACCGCAGCTTCTATGCTTTGTCAAAATAATGAAACAGTTTGTACTCACCTATGGAAGTTGTGGCTGGAACTGGCTCTTTAGACACTGCACGAAAGAAAACAATGAAAGTCAATTTATTTTGATTGAAATGATTGGGACAATTAGTTCTAACAAAGAGTGGGATTATATGGAACAATGAATACTGTTTGTCCTGCATGTAATATGTGTCTGTGGTTGTTGATTGTATTGGAATGTCAACCTCGTTATTTGAAATGTTTTAGGGATCCTATTAACTATGTATTTTGTTATTTATTCAATTATAATATTTGTTTGGGTGTGAGCAGGTATTGTCATCTGATCAAACTGTTGGGTCCTTTGTGAATAGCTTTTGCCTGATAAATAAAATGTTTGTAATATTGCCTTTGAAGCCTGAATATGAGTGTCAATGTGCAAACTAACTGTGAAAAAACATGTTAGTTGGGTACAGGTAACAAACTTAGAAGCTGTACGGCATTTTCTGTTAGTATCCACTACCTAACACAAATAATATGGTCAACCCAAAAAGGAAACTTGGAAGAAATACAGCGTGTCAGTTTCTCCGGTGTCATTTATAGGGATAGTTTGAGCAGATGAAATCCCAACTGCATGAAACTCCACAGGCATTGAATCGTTGCCTAAAGCCTCTTCAAAGATTATGTGTGTGTGTGTGTGTGTTTGTGTGTGAGTTTAAGTGTGTACCTGAGTAGTAGGAATTCAGCAGGGATTTGCTCTGCAGTGTCTTGCCTCCCTGCACAGAGAATGAGCAGGTAGAGGGGGAGGCTGGAGAAGGAGGACACAAGGGAAGAGAGGTGAAGAGAAGGTGAGAAAGAGGACGAGGAAACAAGAGGATGTACGGGAGAAGCAGGAGGTGGCGAAGTGAGCGGTGGAGTAGAAGGGGAGGTGTGTGACAGAATAGGAAGGAGAAGATGGAGAGGAGGGAGAGGAGAACAGAAAAAGAGGACGAATAAGGAGGAGAGAATGGAATAGTGTAAGTGGGAAGTGTAAGGTGGAGATGAATATATGAAAGCAGAGACAGGAAGTGAAGTACAAATGGGGATGCAGGACAAAAGGGAGAAGGCCAAAAAGATAGAAGAGGGATAGGTCAGTGAGTGAATCTAAAAAGAAACAACAATCAATCATCACAGGACATGATTAACAATGAAAACATACACAAAGAAAGATCCATATTCAACAAAATGAGGAACAATCCAATAACACTAATGGCACCATCAATGCTACCGTATTGAATTTTGCAATACAAAAGTGGTTCCGTCTCAATGAGCATGCACTCAAATATGACATGCTCTCAATGTTGGTCAATACATACGACTGATTTTGTGGCCGGTATAAAGAATGGCCGTTCAAAGTAAATGGATTGAACCAATGGAGAGGAACAACGATAGCATTTGTCCTGCTAACTCAGCTAGCCAGCACTTATTGAGCAGTGAACTACCTACTGTAGCCTCTCTTCACTTAAAAACATGGATTTGTTATGTGTTTTTTATGGAATTATGACTCCTTGCCGGGGGAAAAGTAGTTTGTAGTCAGTTGGGACAAAACCAAAGTTTATCTTATATGTGAGGTGATTGTCAATCATAAGCCTTAAGAAAAGCCTCAGTTAAGTTAACTTGGTATTCATTTATCAGAATCTCTCCGCCAAAAGATAGTGCTTTTAAAATGTTAATAGGCCAGAATATCTAGCGTAATGAAAGGGTTGGGGTTTTCATTACATTTCATTTTAGAGGGATATTGTTTCGATTTTCTTTTTGGTGCACTTTTTTGGCTTTGACGGCTAGCTTCATGCATTGAATAGCTACTGCCTGTTCAAAGCTGCACTGTGGGAATAAAGTAAATAATAGAAAGAGTTGGAAAAAAGCTGAGCCCATACATCAATGCATATACATGGGGATCACCATCAGGTCTGCCAGGGGTTATAAATAAATGAAAGGTAGGACACACACACGCACACACAATAAGATAAAACCCAGGGGGAATGCTGGGAGACTGACTGTGACATATTATATGCTACCTAAGGCCGTTCAATAATCCACACTATCTGAGCTATCTTACACACATGTCGCGACACACTACCTGCAGCTAGTTGCTTTGCTGTGTGTGTGCTCACCTAAACGTAAAGACATGTATCCATACACTTTAAGAAGCCATTTAGTAATCATGCATGGCATCATATACAGTATTTTCACTCTTGTTCATAATGTATTTGTTTTGTGTGTTTGAGAGACCTGACGGTCCGAGCAGGGGCCATTAGTGGAAACTCTCCAACTGAAGGAACCTCTCCTCTGCCTCCCTTCATACTCAATGTGCCTCTCCTCTTCTGCCCCTGTGTTTCTTTGTCATTGTTTCCACCCCCCCCCCACACTCCCATCATCCCCTCTTCTTGTCACCTCCTTAGCCTGCTTCAGATGCACCTTCTCGCCTCTCCTTCCCCTGATATGACGTTTAAGTAGTATAGAAGAATTGTAAATCTATTAGCATGATGGTTTGTAAAACATTCTAGCTCGATGTTGAAAAGTTGTAAAAGCATTAGCAATATCCCAAGGGGTCTTTGGAAGTAGCCACTTATAACATCTTGTAATAATGGCAGCTAAGGTGACACTCAAGTTATCCATTTGTCTCGCTGTCACATTAAAAGAATATGAAGAGAATGGCTTGACAGATACTAATGTAAAATATGTGTAAGTGAGCAGCATCCATAAGTGCATGTGAGCAAGAAAGGTTTTGGAGAGAAACTCCCTCTGGAAGAAACTTTGTAATATGATACTTTGCAGACCATGTATGCACAGCAACCTATATAACACACTACAGGAAAGGGAAAATCCCCAAAAAGCATAATAAGGCCTCTTAATATAATTGAATAAATGTGCTCACCAGTAACTGTAAAATGTCTGACTGCTCATAAATAATATAGCACATGTTGTGTAAAATGGCAGTATACAGGCTGCCATTTTCCATCCAGTGTTTGTAATGTCACTAATGCTCTTAATAATAAGTGTGATGGTAATTTCCTGATGATTCCTCCATACAGGTGCCTTTTTGCCTAATCCATATTCTATTTGCTCGACTGTTTTCTGGTACAATGGCCCAATTTCCCCCCTAGCAGATCATTTAGGTTCTATCTTCTTGTCATCTCTCTTTCTTCCTCATCACCTCTCCAAATACCCCCGAAAACATTTCCTCCTCTTCTGTTACAAAATCCCCCTCGTCTAATGCGTACCAGCACTGTATGCTAACGCAACTCAAAAAGAAGCTCAACTTTAATACAGTGAGGAGTGTTCCTGCATACCAAAGGAAAACTGCTTTGACAGCAATGTCCTGTGAAGATAACTGGTGGCTGGGTGAGAATGCAATAACACAAAAAGGTTATTTGCCCTGCGAGGGTCCATCCGCGGAAATATTATTGGGTCCCCTACCCATCGTCAGCGTATTTTCTCTGTCTCATTAGGACTGAGCCTGGATCAGTGACGCATGTGTGTGTCCTTTGTTTCTTTCCCTTTTTCAAATGTGTGTGTGATAACACTACCAACAGTGAAAGGGAGGCAGTTAGAGGAAGACTATTTCATGGCACCAACTCTGATGAACCAAACCGTTAATTGCCATGGATCCTAACAACAGGGTTTAGAAAGTCACAACAAATATAGTTTTCATAGTCTATCCATATAGTTTCAATGGATTGATAATAAAATACAATCTCCCTCTGGTTTGTGTCGCATATGCCAAGACATATTATTTACTTTCCTCCAAGGATGATAAATAAGAGGAAAGTCTGTCAATTTTTTGGAAGTCCGAACTTCATTCACATATGCCTTAAATCAAGAAGACTTATTTGAAAGCCAAAACTATATTCGGCCCGAGGCAAGGTCCAGTCAACTGTGCCTGGAAGCAAAAAAGTCCATGACTTATAAAATAGCTATTACTTCATCATATATTCAGTTCCCAGGAGACATTTACCTCTTCTTTTCTAAATTCTTCAAACACGGAAACTGTGTTAATTAACTCAGCAAAAGCATAGCTAGGTTTCATTGTAAGAATACTAATACAAAAAGTAAAAAGTTAATGAAGCAACCAAGGTCAAGAAGAAAATAAGCTTATTTTCTTAATGATGCTATTGCCCAATCAAGTTTATTTGAAAGAGGACATATTCTGCTAATTTACAGGTTCATGTTTGTATATTGTGCTTTTACTGTGACATGTTACCAAAAGATGCCTTAATGTTCAAACAGTGCTTTATTTTTTACTTTATTGTTCACCCTCTGTCTGAAACTAGAGCACAGTCTGTTTTGATTGGTCAACCCCTTAGAGATATCCCGCCCCTTAGCCTATCACATACAAAGTGTTTGAGCGCTAGCCAATAGAAGCGCGAGTGATGTGACTATGTTATGGAAGTAAACAAAGGAGTCCAATGGAGGCGTTTCAGGCAGGGGGGGTGTGTGTGAAACTCCCTCTGCAGGGAACTGTTAGCCTCTGCAGAACATTTACACGCACTAAATCCACTCAAATATGACACTACAGGAAAAGGAAAACCCTGCAAAAAGTATAATAGTGCTCTTTAAAAAGCTTTATGGTACATTTATGGTCGAGATAAAAGCAGTCCTCTCTAAGTGTTTTAAATGCAAAAACATTATTCTACGTGAGAGTTGCAGTGCGGACAGTAGGAAGAAGAGAGCAGGCAATTATGGGCGACATTAGCCTGCTACTTAGTCCCTCTCCAGCACCCCTGGCTTTCAACGGCCAAGCACTCCCAAAAGGCCAGCATGACATTTTCAGGAGAAAAAATTTCCTTCTGAGGGGCCCTGTGCAATTACCATGAACACACACACACACAAAGACACACACACATAACCGTGCAAATGCACAACGACTTTCATAAGATTGCCGTTGAAGTCCCAATGCAATATGCACACATGTTCTTGCATGTGTTTGAGGCAGAACAATAAAAGTTTAGGGATGAGGGAAAATGATTACAGCGGCACTAAGTAAGATGGAGGCTAGTGAAGCAGCACAACATACTGCTGATATTACTAAAAAAGGAACATATGGAGAGTTTTATTATGAAAAAAAGTCCATTATTTGAATAAATTAATCTGACAAAATGATTAATGGCACAGAGACTTAGTATATGCATATTTTCTAGAAGAGACAAGGGCAAAATAAACGTTATTACAATTTGAAACAAAGATTAAATTAAAGAGATGTATTTACAGTAGGCTACGTTTTTTTATTATTATTTTACTTTCTGGTAACATATATTCTCTGAAGATTCTCCAAATGTAGGATGCAAATTGAGGTCAGAAGCACAGAGGATTTGACTTACTGAAGCCATTGAGGTCCTGGTTGGAGGTGGAGAAGGGGTCGTCTTTGTGCAGCGTGCTGACCTTGGTGGTGCTCTTATCAGCCGTGGTGACCGGGCCCATCTCCCTCTGCTGGGTGGAGCTGCTGGCCGTCTCTTTCTGCTTCTTTGCCAACTTCCTACAGTTTTATGAACAAATACACGTTAACAAGCATACACACAATGACATACAAACAGGTTTATTTACACAAACAGACATGCATGAAAAGTGTGGAATCCACATGCAGAACCTGAACACATTCACATGTATACAAACACACATATATCACCAGATCAGAAATACTGTCAAGGAAATCATTTATTGTGAGAACCGCAAGCAGAGGACAGTTTATTTTATCTAAACATGCGGTGATTTGAACACACAAATGTCAATATGGCCACATGAGGATGAACATTTTGGTTTTATGCATTGCGATATTCAAAAGTTCTTAAACATTGTTGTGGCAGCTGTATAATCATGATATGAACAAATGGTATTTTAGACATTTAAGGCTATGGTTAGAATGCATTTAACAAAGACAGCAACATTTAAGGACACCTTTTGTTTTAGGGTTAGGGGTTAAGGAGCGTTCACACTCGACGCAAAGCTTCATTTTCGCAAATGACGCAGCAAGAGTTCGATTTTTAGAAGAGTTAGAAATTTGCCTGACATGAATTATCTTTAATTAGAAACAAAACATATTGTATTATTGATCCGATCTCCATTCAGAAAACATACATTATAAAAGTGTTCTGCCTACAGTCTATTGGACACACTATCCAAAGCATTCATTCATGGTTTTTACTAATCAGTGGGGTTTTTGGGCATCATTTTGAAAAATGTTTTACAATGAAATGACAGCATAGTATGCTAATTGTATGTGAATCTTCCCTTTACGGCCGGTGTGAACGCACCATCAGGGTTCTTCCAGCATTTTTGTGGTGTTATCCTGAAGTTGCAATTTAAGTAGTATAAAAGAAAAAGCTTTCCGATATCTTGCCTTTTGGAATTGAAACTCCCTTCCAACATTAAACAGTCACTATCTATAGATCTCCTGCATTGGAATCAAATGCAGATAATATATTTATAGGATTGAATGCTGATTAATAAGCATAACCACACGTGTGTTCAGAATTAGACAGTAATATGCAATGGGAATCATATTTTAAGATATAATAGATCCAATCTAATGACTGTTGAAAAAAAAGCTTAGGTACAACGTTTAAAAATGGACAGATTTTTTTTTCTCCTGCAAGGCAATTAGAGCAAAGAAAGCACAGGCAATATGATTCAGTGGGGAGGGGTTGACATTCAGTAACATGTAGGGCTTCTACAGTGGCTGTAAATGGTAAATGTAGTTGTGTGACTGCTGATGAGATGTCCCTTGAGTGTGGTTGTATCGTAAGGATTTTTTCTCTTCCATTCACTGTCTGTGTGAGTGTCATAACTCCCATCTGTTGGCAATTTAATATTGGTTATTTTTCAGTTGTACCTGAAACTTCAGTTTTAAATTCACTGAGGCACCAGATGGCAGAAGTGACAGCAAGCCATTACAATCTGACATCGACTAGTAGATTCACCAGAACTGGCAGAAGTACCACCATAAACAGATTTGTACAGTCTTGTCCTGTATGCATTTCCTGAACAAGTACCTCCAGAAGTTAGAAATGTTCTATGAGCCTGAACATACTGGAAGTGATAATAAGTGAGTCTTATTTTAAAAGTGTAATTCTGTCATTGACTGCATACTGAAAGAACTGCTATTTTTAACAGAAACACTTTTTTTGCAGGATGAGTAGGACCACCAAAACACTCCTTTGACTTTCGTCTTTCTGAGGCTCAATCATTTTAATTGGGGAGGAGGACCAGGTTAGGCACTTCCTGCATGATTTCTGAGCCATAAGGTTACTTACCAGCACAGTGAGCATTCAGTGTAGATCTATATCTTGTGTGTTCTACAGATATCTCATTTTATTTTTCAATTCAGACAGAATGATGCAGAAAAAAGGACATTTGAATTTCACATCTCAAATGCAAACAGAAACAAAATGTAAAAGGTATAAAACCTTGGAACAATATTGTTACAACCTAGTTTCTGCTTTGACAATTGCTTATTATTCACATTGTACATTTGACATTGGCATTATCAATGGATTGGTTCAGAAGTCAGCATGTTCTTAACCAGCTGTCATGGGAGTACAGTGAAGAAAACCTAAATCTCAATTAAAGTCACTGGAGTAAGTCCATAACCCCAAACAATTTCAATGCACACTGCTTGGGTGTCATGCAAAAATATTTTTGGGGCAATTAATTTAAATTAAAAAGGATAATAAATATGACACTGGATTTGCAGAAAATGGTAAATAATATTATATACTTTAACATATTGTCATTTATTAAAATAAAAGTAATGAATGAATCTTATTTTCCCAATAACTTACAACAGAAACAAAGCTATTTTTATTTAAGGAACAACCATATGTGTGACCCACCTTTGTGTTCCTTTACCAACTATGATCTGATATTACAATTGGAGTTGAGTTTGAAGCCAGCAATCTGACAAAAATGTAGAACACTATGCCGCTACCCATAATGGCTGTTCCATGGGATTATTATTAATTTAAATGCCATGGGAGTCTTTCTTAGGCCCCGTCCGGAGACGAAAACAAAAACGAACCACGGTCGATATCAAAAAAGTCTTCCGTCCACACGGAATCGGCACAAGAAACGTGTCCGTCCACACGAGACCCTCGACCCGCTGGAGACGCTGTAGTACATATGCCGGGCCTGTAAGTGGCTCTGTACTTCCGCCACAAAATACACAAAAAGCAGCGAATAAGACCCCCCGAGCATGGTTGCCATGGTTGCCTGGTTGCCCTTCTGGTTATTCTCCGCGGTGGATTTAGCAACATGTAGTTCATGTAGTTCTCCATGTCCACTTGTTGCTGATGGTTGTGGTAGAGGAGCTGTAGATTTTGCACTAACATCTGTAGCATGGTCAGTAGCGTCTGGAGCACGAAAGCAACCCTGTGATCCGCCATTGTTGTTATTGCGAAACGCATCAGCAATGACGCGGGTGACGCGGGGCTGAGCAGGAGAGGTGCGGAGAGGCGGGGCTATGATCGTTTAGGGCGTACAACCCGCATTACGTTACCAGACCTTCCCACTTTGGGAAGCACTATCGTTTGAGGGCTCCGTTTCCGCGGTTCCGTTACGGCCTCGTGTGGACGAACCGTCCATACAATAAGAACTATAGCGGATAACACCCGTTTCGTCTCTGTGTGCCCCAATATGCTTTATTTAGCATGATTCCTTGTTTACCCAGATTCACTTCAACTGAAAGCAAAACTCATAGAATAAGCTAAGTTGGAAAACACAAGTTTGGCTTGCATATCTATTACAAAACCAAGACTATCAATTTCATTTGATGATGATGACCAGCCAAAGCTTCACATTTAGGTAAAGCTTTTCTTTAATCGACCAATGTCTCTAAACCTTCCACTCATTTCAAAAAGTTGTTAAGAGTTGTATTCGTGTTAGGATTGGTGGAAAGTGTTTTATTTAACTTTTTAAGGCTTAGTTTACTTCCAGCTACCATTTCAACGTTTACTTATCAGAAAACTGATTTGCCTTCTCAAGTGTTTAGCAACAAAACACTAAACAGAGATCTAATAATACTGCACTGCCACAAACTGCCAAAACATAGCAACACAAGTTTCTCACAGAGTGTGCAAGCCATGTGTACCGCCTGCTCTGCTTTGCAAATGAACAACAGATCCCATCCCTAAATATGTATCAGTAGGAATCCTTTTCAGATTTATTTCAAGATGAGTCATATGAACAAGATCCCGGTCTCTTTTCAGAAGTCAACAGAAAACCTCCTCCATTACCCACCAACACAATCTTCTACCTACTTGAAGTGTCTGATATCCAGTCACGAATGGCATACAGTGGGCTGTAAGTGTGTGTGTGTGTGTGTGTGTGTGTGTGTGTGTGTGTGTGTGTGTGTGTGTGTGTGTGTGTGTGTGTGTGTGTGTGTGTGTGTGTGTGTTTGTGTGTGTGTGTGTGTGTGTTTGTGTGTGTGTGTGCATAAGCATTTGCGATAAGGCAGGCAAGTGTTTGTGTGTACTTGTTTCTGTGAGCAAACACTTGATATCATGAAGGCTGCTTACTGTGTGTGCTGGACCTGCAGTTTTGTGTGTGTGTGTGTGTGTGTGTGTGTGTGTGTGTGTCTGTTGTACTTGGCCGTTGGTGCAAACTGGCCAGTGAGTTGGTGTGTTTCTCTCCGAACTATCACGAAGCCGCCTTATACGCCTGCTTAAAAAACTGCTCCATCCTGCACAGTCGCTACAAAAGGCAAATAGGAAAACACTTCTTTAATTCAAGGCATTACTCATATCATCCCTACAATGACTAATCAAGTCTCAAATATTTCATGAAATACTTTGAGGTTGAGTCAAAACAGTATGGTTTTTGTAATAAAGAAAAGGAAAATCTATGTATTTAAATTAAAAAAATCTCCAACACATTTTATTTTCCTGGTCATATGACTCAGTTCTCAAATCTATGTCAATCTTTAAACAAACACACAGAAGATCATTTCTGTAAAATGTACTTACTTTGAACACTCTTGCAAAAATAATGAAACATGCATCCTCAAAGGCAAATTATTAGTTTTTGTTCCTCTACATAAAAAGGAACATTCCTGCCCGCTCGGCACTACACGTTTGCGTTGGATGTAAATCAAGGCTGCAGAATCATCCAATGCGAACAGAAATCCTATGGAGACTGGGCTGGCGGCCATCTTTGTGTGTGTCTGTGTGTGCATGCTGGGTGCCCTTACACACAAGAATAATATGAGTCCACGTGATAATCTGCGCTTGCTGTGCAGATTTATTATCTATGATCTTTTTGTGTTGGTTTTGGGGAATGTGCTTCTCTAGGATTTGCATTTGTAGAGCCCTCTACGGGTCAAAAAGCATATCTGTAAAGCAGTAGAATGATAGGCACTTTCACTTGCAATGATATTTGTGTATGAGGTAAAGCAATATGCAGAAACACAAAAATAAAAGGGTGTCATTGTACTTTGTGTGTGTCTGTGTGTTTTGGTATTTATCACTATTGGGAGACATCATTTCG